CGAATCATCAAAATCGTTCCAGATGAAGAATATATTGCAGAAGGTTTATCATTCCCTGGAAATGAAGATTGGATTAAACAAAAGATGCCTAAAACGCTAAACGAGGAAGGCGAGATAATCGAGGAAGAGAAAAATCCAAATATCCTCAGCACTGGGGTAGATATATCAGATAGAGAAGAGATTAGACGACTGAGAAGAGAAAGATCACATGAGAAATCACAGCAAAGATGGCAAGACAGAGAGCCACGACGTCTTGAAAGAATGCAACTCCTTCAAGCTGATCTGAGAGAGACAAACCAACTTTCGTCGGAAAAAATTGATCTGGATAAATTGGTCAAGAGGGTGAAGTCGGATGTATCGGTTGATAAAGATCGTTTGGTCAGGAAGATAGATTTCGATGAGCGTTCGAAATGGGAAGATTCCCATGAGGAGGATGAATCGAAAAGTTAGTGGAAATGTATAATTATGTATTAAAAAAGATTATCCACTCGATGATGATTTATCTATGTTTTCATATGGTTATTACTTTTGTGAATGTGCAAGTTGGAACAGATGAGATAAACATTGCATTCTCCTAAATCTATAAGATCTCCAGCAAGTCACAATCCCTTTGCATAGGGTATCTACTTTTCATCCATAATCCCCATTCTTTCCACCCAATATTAATTTGGTAATCCATTCCCATTAACAACCGCCACCTCACCCACACCCTCCGCCTTCCCATTCATAACAACCCCATTCAGAGTTCCCCGTTTGCTCGCTTTCCCATCCCGCACCTCCTCAGTCGTATCGACTAAAATCTCAAAAGCTTTCCGAATAAAACTTTCCTCCGCCTTGGGATTCGCGCTCACGACTCGGATTACATATGCACCGCCCACCACTCCAGCTGTGAGGTAGATCTCGCCTCTTTTGTTAATCAGCTCGTATACTTGTTTCGTGAGACTATTCTGTGCCTCCGCATCCGCATCCGCGGATTTGGGAACAATATTCAGAACAGTCAGAGCGAAATTAGGTCCTGTAACGATGTTGAATAGATCTTCTCGTGTCTTCAGCAGACTGATGAGTAATTCCCCGAGTTTCACGTGTTTTCGAATATGTTCTTGTAAGCCCTTGACTCCGTAGGTTCTAAGGACAAACCAAATCTTCAAGCTTCGGAAGCGTCTTCCGAGAGGAATTTGCCAGTCCCGATAGTCGGTTACAAGTCCACTCTCTGAGAATTCGTTACGGAGATAACTTGGTGTTATGGAGAGTGCGTCGATCAAATCTTTGCGTTTCTTGACATATAGACATGATGCATCGAAATTTGTCAGAAGCCATTTGTGCATGTTCATATCGAACGAATGGAAATGTTGGAAAGATGATGTTAAATGATGGTATTCGGGGCAGACCAAAGCCGCACCTGCATAAGCAGCATCAACGTGAACCCAGATCTCGCCTGCAACATCTGGAGGTGCGTATTTTGAGATTACTGATGCGATAGATGCGAAATCGTCAACTGCGCATGTAGATGTTGTTCCCAAAGTCGAAGTTAGATAAAAGGGTTCCAATCCTTGAGATTTGCATTCTTTCAATACTTTCTCTAGATCATCACCCGTCATGGCGAAATCGTTGGATGCGAGTACTGGAATTGATCGAAACCTAACACCAGCTATCTGCGCTGCTTTCTGCGTGGAGCTGTGTGCCATTTCACTTCCTAGTGCGACTAGCTTACTCCTCTTGTATGCGATCGCATCCTCGAGTTCAACACCCGATAAATCTGCAGTGGTTTCACGAAGGTATTTATCACGGGCAGCGACCATAACGGTTACGATGGCTTCCGAAGCCGATCCTTGGATGACACCACCACCGTGAGTCGAAGACAAATAACAGTCTGGGAGATTGAGAAGCTTGGCCAGCCAGTCCATTACAACAGTCTCTAACTCTGTCACAGCAGGGGAACAGATCCAATTGAAAGCAGGAGCTGTGAAAGCTGCTGAGTATAACTCTCCGAGCATTCCAGGGTAGGTAGACGATGCGGGGAAGAAAGCCATAAAATTAGGTGATTGCCTTGATATATCAGTGTCCGTCTTAACGTTCACATATAAACGTCAGACTCACCAATGTGTCAGACCAGGCATGATTTTAGTTTCAATGTCTTTCTGAATCTCTGCCCATGATTCGCCCTCTTGTGGTGGACCATCTGGAAGAATTTTCTTCAGGTAACCAGGCTCAACATTTGAGACTACTCTTCGCTCATGAATGTTATCATAATATTGAATGACTACGTTGGTTAGTATGTAGTGTAGTACTTCAGGTGGGGGAACAATAACCTACTCTCATCAATGGCTGACGTCGCCGCCTCTTTGAATTGCTTCGAATCCATATTTATTGACAGGAAGTATGTATGTGTGTGTGTGCAGCGAGAAAAAGAGTGGGAAAATGCCACCGTATATAAAAGGTTGGAAGTGTCGAAACCTTTTTTGACCAAGGAAGAATCTTTCTCTATTCAAAGATAATGCTATCGCCACAATGTCTTTAAAAGGCGTAGCAGTCCTTGCCTTGACATGTCAAATCGCATAAGAGCAACTGTGGGAGCATATCCCACCCATTTTGCGGGTCCCATAATTTGAAGATGGTAGCCGGAGCGGAATTTGCCCCGCATTTCTCAACCGGGCTCGGCTCACTGTGGACGGAGAAACTAGCACGGCAAATTCGCCAAAACACTACCTATTATTTAAAATTGAATTATAAACCCCAAAGAAGGTTAAAAGTTGGATAAAGCAAATAGAATTATAATTTGTAGGCTTCTCAATATTTATGTATAATTTACATACAAGTCTATCGATGATTTGAGTTCACAGAGAGTTTTAAAGCCGTGTCATTTTTCTGGTGTGCTACTTTTTTTGTCTAGGGGAAGAAAAGCCGTATTTCACCACTTGAATACCGTACCTGTCAAACACTGTCAACAATCAATTATCCTTAATAATAAAAAATGATTTCAATTCAACAACATCAAACTAGTCATCACTTGATCTTTGTTCGCGAAAGGATATTTAGGACAATGAAACATCTCTATCTGTATATTTAAGAGAATGAAAGATTGCACTATTGATCAATTGCGGCTAGTTCCCCCCCTACGAAGGTCTAGATAGAATAATAAGATGAGAGTAAAGGAACAAGGGATCTACGGCTCGGATATACGAATTTTTGAATTCCGTCTCTGAGAAATCCGGATGTTTAAGGGTATACTATTGACATCTAGCATGTCGGATGGTATATCCATCTGCAAAGGACTGATCGAGATCCTGTTCATGTCAAACTCAGTAAAAACGCCGAAGGCGCATCTTGGCAATCAAAATACTTTCAGAATGGCTTTGAAGAAGGCTTTTCACCATGTAGCAATGCAGATAGAGGGTCACCCGAGCCCTACCCGGTGTTTTAGCCTCTCCGGGTACGCATATCAGGGTATGCATTCTACCGGGAGCGTATACCCGACCATACTCTATGATACCCGGATAGCCCGGCCCGGTGCTCATCCCTGAATGCAGGGGTGCTGATAAAGATGTAGATGACGGAAGACGAAGGAGATGTTGGCATTTCCAAATCAAACGAAAAGGGACAGTGTGACTCGAAGTGATCACACCAAGCAGAATACCAGTTGGTACACGTGAATCGAAACATGACAGTTAGCTGTTTGCATGAAGGTGGTCCGCTCATGATCCAGGACTCAGAATTACTCGAGAAAGGCACTTGGAGGTTGCTATCGATCAATATCAATAAATGACAATCATTCTTTTGGTTTCCGTAAAAGTTAGCGAGGTAACCTAGGGGATTGAAAGGCTTTGAAATGCAGAGCAAGAACGCCGATAATTTCAGGATGGAGGCATCTGCCACACCGTTCGGTATCTCGCTCAATTCGCTATATCGGATTAATTAGAAATAATCCTTCTTCGCCGTCGGCTTTTTTCAAGTGGAGAGAGAATCTTAAAATTGTTCAAAGGAGAATTATTTGTACCTAGCTGCGCCGCTTAAAGGATTGTGGTCCCAATTTTGCTTTCATTCGGCCAATCGTATCCAGTTCTATACGCTGGGCAACTAGCGTCACAGAGGCCTCACAACCAGTAAACTCGTTACATTCAAATCTATACAGGACTTTCGATACAGCTTCGTCACCTCTCTACATTTGATCAGAAATGAGCGATCAATGTGCTTCGCTGGATCTTGATATCAATCTTACGAAATCCTACAATGGGAGTGCTAGTGCTGTCTAAGGGCGAGGCTCGGATCATTCTTGAGTGCTTCCCTTCAACCAGACAGACCATCTATATATGTAAGCAGCTTTTTGAGCGAAGTATATGAGAAGTATATGATGTGGCAAGGCCTCATCGTCCTCGAAGTATCATTATCATTATCTTCTTCATATCCTTCTACTCTCTTAACTTCTCAACCCATCGTCTTCACCTGTTGCTTTTCCATGTGTCTATGCCAAACATGAAGTTCATTGCTTCCCTGGATCTTCTTTTGCTTACATCCATAATACATCAAGTGTGGTCATGGAAAGTAGGCAAGGGAGTCCAAATAAATAGTGGCTTTGTACATGGCCATGTAGCTTCGAACACCCCCGACAACCGAAGTTGTCGTTTCACAAAAATGCGATAAGATACAAAGAGTGTATGAATTCAAGTCCAACAATCGATACCAAATGTCCAGATCTCAATCAGGCATCACATTTCAAGACTTTATGATTGTCTCAGCTATACTTAAACATTGAGAAGCATACACATCCCAGTGTTCAAAATGAAAATATACATTCACATCTGCAGAAATATAAATATTTGAATAGAACTTGAACATTGTATTCGCCAGCTGGCGGAAAATATCATGATGTAATCTAAATACTCAATGTAGCATTTACCAGCTCAAAATCTCGCATAACCGTCTAATTAAATCCTTCTAGCCTGATCCCGAAAGCCAAATATCTCAAGACGAAAGAAATCCTTACGCCTCACGCCTAATAAGTCTTACTTAGAGCCAGAAGGCTTATCTCTCAGCGACAATTCCCATGTGCCAAGTCTCCTAGGAAGCCTCAACGATAGCAATTTCTGTGGTTTCGAGCTCGTCGGTTGTTCAATCTCATACGCATACTCCAGACCCGGTTCCAATCCTCCCTCCATAATGTCAATTTCCTCCTCCGTTGGCAGCGCAGGCAACTGTGCAACCCATCTCTCGACATTATCCGCCGACGAGTATGTAGGAAAAATCTTCTCACGTTCCTCAATCAATGCATCCCTTCCATAGTTGTTCTCACACTTGCATATGCGTCTCTCCTCATATAATGGACGTCTAGATCTCAATTCGCATTTTTCGTTAGGACAACACCACCAACCTTCCTGAAGATCTATTGGATCTCGTTCTGCCTCCTTTCTTCCATCCGGTAGATATTTACCCTTGCTGGCGAAAGTCGGACATAATCGTTCGCCGAGATCATGAGCGCCAACGGGACATCCGGCATATGTACATTTCCACCATCCTTTGGGCAAGATTCTAAATGCATCGTTAGAAAGAAACTCCGGGGGTGGGCTACACCGAGGAACTATGCTGTAGATATTTTTGCGACCTCGCTCGGCTCTTCTCAAGCGCTTCGCCTTTGCAGAGCTAGGATCGATGGGTCGAGGAAGGACATTTTGGTCGTTGACGTATGGAATTGTGTTGCTGTGTGGGATGTTATGTTGAGACATGATGAGGTTTAAAGAAGCTGAATTGTGTGGATATGAGCCAAGGAGGGGGTTGAATATAGTTTCGATGGTAGAATCGTTATGTTTGCGTAGGACCTGGTAGAATATTGCTGTGCTCGAGAATTATTGTGGACGAGAGGAGAACATAAAGCAAAGAGGGATATCCGGAGCTATTTAACCAGATTTTGATGGGCCATCTAGACGCCAAATGACTGTAGAAAAGGAGCATAATGGCTCCAGGATGACTGAATAGTTCCGAAATGACTGCAGAATGGGATTTATGAAGAGCCGCAGCCCTGAAACGACTTAAGTCCGAATACGGCGGCGCATAATGACTAGTTGCATCTGTAATGACTGGAACGACACTGATTTCTTCACGATGACTGAGAGAACATATCTCCAGGGCCAGTCATGTTTCCGTCACATGACGCGACGAAGCGACTCGAATTAGTGAATGTAATCCACCAGGCTGGCTGCGAGGCTGTGTGCATTTCAATGTAGAATTGGAACTTGTATAATGAAGAGTTCTCATCTTGTTAATCGAGCCGAAAAGCCTCTGTTGCTCGGGATCGGACTGCACATTATATCACTCGTTTCTCATCTATTAGGCTAATAACACTTTATTATTCAAGGCCAGATTGAATATACAAGCACTAAGTACTCAACAAATAGTCGGATCGGAGAAGCATAAACCCCGCATTGGGTTGATTACTTAATCCAAACGCGGGGAATACCCATTCGAGCTACCCCTCATTATTACAAACCATCTCGCAGCTCACTTACAACTGTCTGATATCTCATCATCATAAACTCAACATCAATCAAAACACCACAACAACCCTTTATTAACATTATCGCACGCAAATAACAACAATGCCGTCAGGAAAAGCTACCGCAACAATCAACGGCCGTACCATTGCCGAGACAGATAACTGGGAGGTTGTAGAGGGAAATGTCTATGTATGTACCTGACTTTTGAAGTTCTGACATATTGCTAACAATACAGTTTCCACCATCGTAAGTTGTATTGTATTGAGTCGAAACGACCAATACTGATAATTCAGCTCGGTGAAACAAGCTATGCTCTCCAAGACGGACCATAGTACACATTGTCCCTGGAAAGGTGATGCATCATACTATACCATCACGTTTGACAGTGAGCTACCTAACTCCCCTGTTTATGAGTCAAGGAAAGATTGACAAAGTATAGAAACGGAGTTGAAGAACGCAGCTTGGTATTATCCAGCTCCGTTTGACAAGGCTCAGAATATCAAGGATTATGTTGCGTTCTGTAAGAGGCTCATTGGGTATGGAGATATGATTTGCACGACTAACAAGCACATAGACAAGAACTTGGTTGATGTGAAGGCGGAGGAGAACTAGGAGACCTGGGGCTGGATCTGAACATCAAGAACTCGTTGAAGGTGTGGGGCTTCACAGAGGAATCTCTTGCCGCGAATCGAACAATATTGAACAATTAGCACACCAGATAGCAGTATACAATGGTCCAGAACAAAATTCAATAAGCTTTTTTGACTTGACTCATGAAATGCAGATCTACGCGTGAAACTTGTTTTAACAAGCAGAAGACAGAGAACGATGTTATTCGTAGTTGGTCTCTCAATATCCAACAGGTCACAACGATATCCCAACAGCTCTATCAAGAATCGTGAATAGGCTACTTGCCCTATAGGTAACATGTGTGGCTCGAGGAACCTCTGTCTCTAAGACTGAGTATGAACCCCTGGACTAAATGACAATCTGTTCCTTCAACCATGCTGCAAAACTGTAGGCTAGACATGTTTGATTGAGACTTTGCACGACCAACTCATAGGGATTTTTGAAGTGAAAGAAGCCTGATATTTGAACTATACTTTGACCTTCTCATGCGTTGAATATGTATCGGCCATGAGATTGTAAAGGAGACAAGCCTCCTTGAGACCCGAACTTTTTTCATTGACAATGTGGCAGATGTTTGATAGAAAACGAGCTTGAAATTTGCATGAAAAATATAGCCCAATGAGCTGAGTGAATCAGAATTAGAAATGGGTGAGGGGCATTGAGTGATTTGATAGCAGAATACAAACACAATTGTATACTGAGAGCTTGGGCCCCGAAACCCCGAAGAAAAACGCGCTGAACACGCTAAAATCATCCCGCGATCACAAACGCGTCACCCCGCACAGGGTATCTTTATCCCTATCACATCACAATTGATCCCACGACATAAAATATTGCAATCAAATCTACGAAAAGGAATAATCATGGAGAACGCCCCGGAACAGTACGATGATACTAATCGCGCATTTCTTCAAGCATTATTAGCGCGTGGCACTTTGAATCTTGAAGAAGGCAAAGATTTACTCGCCCATATTTTCACAGTTCAAGATGGTGATTAGAAATTCCTCTTTAATCTTTCTTCTTCTCAAACTGACATTTATCATATAGATGGAAGAGTTACTTCAGCAGATGATGTCACAAAGGATGACTTAAACTCCTACATATCCAAAGCAGCTGAAGCCCTCTCGCCGTTCGATTACGAGATTAGAAGCATGAGGCATCAGCGAACAAATGAACAAATCTGGGCTCTTGTCAACAGTACCAGCGATCCCCTCACTCAGATTGCGACCACTTTTACAACGGAGGAGATGTTCTACATTAAGCGGTTGTTGGATGCTATGTTTGAATCATACAATACCAAGGGAAAGGAGGTCATGGCTATAACCAGTACACAGGCTATACACTCATCAGTTATTGGAGGCTCCGGCCGGCAGAGCATAGGTGACGCCGACATGCAAACAATAGATAACGGTGTGAGGAGAGGCGAAGCCGAGAAGGTATTGGAAGGTCTGGTAGCGCAGGGGTGGTTCGAACGAAGCGATCGAGGGTTTTATTCTCTGTCACCCCGCGCAATTCTAGAGCTTCGAAGCTGGCTTGTCGATACATATAACGACTCGGACGATCCGGATGAGTGGCAGCGCATAAAAAACTGTGAAGCATGTAAAGGAATTGTTACGGTTGGCATGAGGTGTTCGAGGAGAGATTGCAATGTGCGACTACATAAGATCTGTCATCCTGCGTATTTTAGATCACGTCCTAACCAGAATTGTCCAAAATGCGAAACTGAGTGGGATGGAAAGCATTACGTTGGAGAGAAAGCGGTCACATCAACAGAAGATAACTTGAGAGAGAAGCGGAGAAGTGGCGCTTCCTCGCAAAGGAGAAGAGCCCCTGTTGAGGAGGAAGGAGAAGAGGGCGAAGAAGAGGACGGACAGTAATGAAATTAAAACAGGGAATATGGCGTTGATGGCAAACGATTATGATATCCCAGATGGTCAAAATACTTTGGCATGCTGTCGATACTTTCTGGAAGGATAGCCGACGGGACAATTTAAATTTCATGCCTGCATCACTCATTGGTCAATATTCTGATGCAACCATGCTTGGCGGAATCGATCCCGGTACCTAATTTGCGCAGCACAAGTGTCAGCCTTCTTCTGAACGGAAGAAGACTGCTTTTACATTACATTTCTTTCATCAGCATTCTTTGTGTTTCGTCACTCTACTTTCCATTGCAATGAAGCGATTTTCTTACAAACCCCTCGACCCTCTCGTAGACGGAATTCGAGTAAGTGGTTAACTAACGCCTTCGGGATCATGATTGCTAATGAAGAGCTTATAGCTTCTGCATTTATTGCCTGGTAATTGTACCCAGCAACCTCGTTGCTTTCTCAAGCATGCAATATTCGGGGAACGACCGAAGTACAACGCTGTTTCCTATACCTGGGGTAATGAAGCTGATCAACAACCCATTGTTATTGATGATCGATATTTTCTTGTAACGGAAAATCTGTACAAGGCCCTTATATGCTTGCAGCAGCAAAGTGTCACAGAACACGTTCTCTGGGTCGATGCTATATGTATAAATCAGGACGACGTTGCGGAGCGGAATCGTCAATTGACTATCATGCCTTATATTTATGAGCGCGCAATGCTTGTGGTAATTTGGTTAAAAAACGACGAGCTTATATCACCGCCGGTTTGGCCAGACCCAAAGAAGATATCGCCGTTTGAATTATCAGGGCATACTCAACAATATAAAGATCAACGATCATTATTCAACTACTTAATGATCTTATGCTCAAATGAATATTGGAAGCGCCTTTGGATTATCCAAGAGATTGGAAAGGCCAGAAAACTCATCATTTTCTTTGGACAAGAACTAATAAACTGGCAACGATTTGTGGAAACCATCACTCTCAACTGGCCATATCCTGCATGGATCACGCAGGAAATAATTGAAGAAAACGCATTGTCTCAGACGGTTCCATGGAATCTATATTATCAATTACGAAACAAATACGATGGTGGTCATAGGCTGCAAAACCTTTTGGAAAATCATCGTCAAGCTTTGTGTAAAGAGCCGAGAGATAAAGTATATGGGTTGGTTGGTTTGGCTACGGACTGCTATGCTGGATTCCCTATGGATTATCGAAAAACCCTCTACGAAGTCTGGAAGGATACAGTACTTTTTAGGAATTCCGATACTCGAGTTCATCAAAGTGATATTTTGAAGTTTGGAAAATTAGTTCGGGACTCTCTTGGCGGCCCTAACATCACAACAATGAAAGAAATTGCGGATGATATCTTTTTGAAAATACCTCAGAAATCAAATCTTGAACGATATATCGGAGTTAGCAACCCTACAGTGTTGAAAGTTCCGGCTCGTTTGGTGGGACGTATCGTACATTTGGGACCTTCGTATGTACAAATAATGACTGAACTTTCGAAGACTGCAGACTGGAGATTGAGTATTCAGAATCATTTACCGGATAAGATTCAGCCCAGCGTTCAGGAAGAAAGTGATCTCTTCTTAGAAATGCTAGAAGACTTAGATGAGACTGGTCTCAAAATCGTGTCGACATGTGGTTCTGATGTTTCCTGGCTTTGTGAACGCTTTCCAGGAGAGAATTCCGACCCGCTCGATAGACTCACTAAGCGAGATGTAGGAGGTGAGCCTCTGTTGCGCAACTCGTCTTTTCATCTACCTCCAAGAAGGTCTGAACCTCTTCCCCCGTCGCCAGTAAAGGGAGCACGTTTATTCCTCTTGGACAGATTTGTCGGAAACTTTCCGGTATCGAATGATGCGCCTGCAAATATGGGTCTTGGACCGTCAGCAGCTCGTGTAGGCGACTACTTGTGTGAGATTAATGGAATCAAAAAAGCCGCAGTCATAAGGAGAACGAAAGCTAAATTAAACTTAATCGGAACTGCTGGCTTAGCACAAAAACCACAAGATGCACGAAAAAGTAAAAATTCTACACTCGAAGAAACCTCTTCCCCATTTGGCCTGCCAAGCTTCAACAATTTGACGTCGGACCAAACGGTAGATTTGTACATTTATGTACCGTTGGCATACCAGCTCTTGGATTAGCTTAGTCTTTTCTTTATCTGGTCAAACTTCCTCCCGTGTAGAGCTTCTCTATGGACAAGAATGATATTGGACAACCAAGGAGTGAGATGATTTGAAGTATGGCGTTATTGTGTGAGTTGAATGTGCACAATTAAGCTCTATTGCTCGAATTAACAGTGTGCGATGAGTCTTCGATGTCTAGAATAAAGTGGTATAACAAAGAAAATAAACACTTCATGCTCGACAATATGATAATGGGTGATGTGAAACCTCAGATTTACAAGAATGGATTTCATTACATCAGAATCGCTCATTTCTCAGCGTTCTTACACATACCATTGCTAACCTCATTATGAACTTATAAATTCTCTCTTTGTGAAGGTAGGGTGGTACAAAGTAGCATGTCTAAAATTCCATAGCCCGTCTGTTTCACAAGACTATAGGCATAGTGCGAATGATGACCTGGATGAATCCTATATCGCTCAGCCAGGAAGTAAGTAAGAAAGACTACAATTCATCGTACGCCTATTGTCAAGACAAGCCAAAAAAATCCATTGAAGCTGGATTATATAGATGAAACCTTGTAGTTCCTTTCCCAATACTTATAATGCTATGAGGTAGCTACCTGATATGTTAAATGCATGTAAATAAATGTCTTCGGTACGCGTGAAGACGACGGCCCGCAAAGTTCCCGATGAGGCTCCATTTTTAGCCGATGCATTGAAAACTTCATCAACCTGGAAACTTCAAAAATCAAATCAAATCCGAGGGTTCCTATTTGAACAAAAGAAGGAGAAGGGGTGAATAGAAGAAAAGAAGGGAGAGAGGCCTATATGTGGTGAGCTCGGAGCGCCAGGTCGGTGGTTCGAGCCCACCCACCCACTGAACCTACGAATAATAGACCCCACACTTAAGCCACCAAACCTCCTCCTTTCTTTGAACCTTAAAAAAGCAACCACTTCGGCATTCTACAGCCAACAACCACCTGCATAAACGGGAGCAAAAAAATAGCCAAAAGAAACATTCTAAATTGTGTCTCCCTCGGGTGGGCTTGAACCACCAACCTCTCGATCACGTGATCAGGAATAAATCCTGGATAACAGTCGAACGCGCTAGCCAATTGCGCCACGAGGGATGTTGTATTTGTTGGAGAAGAGCCGCTTTTATTAAATAATATTGAAATGAAATTTATGTAGCTCATATATCAATGACGAAATCTCCAGAAATGGTAAATAAATAGTATACATATGTTTTCTATAGCATACAATAAGCAAACTCTTAATTCATAAACACAATGCAAAAATACACTCAAGAACCAAAATCCAAATAGAAGAAAAAGCAATCTCATCAAACAGTCATCTCACCTAACAATCCACCACATCTAACAAGCACCCGCAGCCAATTCCCCAACAACAAGCCCCAATCCATTAGCAACTGCGCTCACACCACCTGTCGTTGCAGCCGAAACAGCTTTAAACGCACCTTTGATTGCAAGACTGAGCACGCTGTCGACTTTACATTCATTCCCCTTTTCCACGGTAAAAACAACGGTATCTCTATCCTCCCAATCCAGCATGGCCTGTTCCGCAACTTGCACTTGGACTTTGATTTGTTTTGGGAAGGGAAGCGTATGTGTAGCTTCTGCGAGGATTTTGCTTCCGGAAGGCCATGCCCTTTCATCTGAAATCATGTGTTAGTTTTTATGCCTCTATCCTTTCCGTCAAAGTTTTGTAAGGGGTTACTTACCACTGATGCTATCCTTGGCCCATAACTCAGGAAACACTCTCTCCACCACCAAATCCGCAACTTGATTGATCCGATCAGCTTCATAATACGGATCTCCCTCTTTCTCCATCCGATTCACTGCATATGTCATTTTGTAATCTTTACTCCCGATTTTATATCCTTCCCCATCAGCAGCATTACTCTTATAATGGTCCTTCAACCACAAAAAAGCATTTTTAACCTGTTCCTGCACTCCGTGATCATTCTCGACATCGTAATTCTGTTGCCCCAAAAACGGAATACTTTGCATCGTACTAGAAGTCGTCACAATCGTGCGACGAACCTGTCGCGAATTTCTCGTGCAGTAGTATTTCGCACTACATTTGACATACATTTTTTCTCCGTAATCCTGTTTCCAGTGCGAGGCAGAGTTGTTGTAGCAGCGCATGGGCGCGCCTCCCAAATCAGCATATCCAGTAACGAACGTCTTGCCATCTCCCATTTCCGTGAGTCCCCAAACTTTGAACGGCTTTTTGTCAAGTGTGCCGGTGATGGGATTTCTTTCTGTACCCGAAGTCCAGTCTACGGGATGGTTTGGGTCGCCGGGGTTGGAGGCGTACGCTTCGTCGAATTGCTGTCCTTTGATAGAATCGTCGTAATTTTTGAAGTACCAGAGTTTGTCGTCTCGGCCGTTTGGTGTGGCGTCGTTGCTTTTCATATACTTGAAGCAGGTCGTGAGGAAAACTGCTTCGTCTAGTCGTTCGTCTTCTCGCGGCAGAAGTGGGCTGCTCAGTACTAGTGGTGCAACTGCGAGGAGAAATGTGGCAAATCCTGAGAGATACATGGTGGTAGTAAGATATATGATGCTAGAAATTGAATTTTAAAGATAGACTGAAGTGGTTGAGAAAGAACTAAAATCAAAGAGAACGTGTGTGGATGAACAAAAAGGCAACGGAACCCACTATCATTATATACCGCCCGTATCAGAACTAAAATTGTCCTCAGTTGCTCAATCATACGAGGGAATACTGTTCAAACTTGGAATCTTGCAGTCAAAAACATGGAATAATGTCATTGCAAAGCATGTACTAACTTCCGTCTATACAATTTTGCACGATACGAAATGCAAGCCCGAAAGACGGCGACCTCATGAAATTACGAAGTAGTGAGAATACTTGGCAAGAGATTATTCCCTCTATAATCATAGCATCTGAATCTGCTATACGCGCCGATTAGGAACATATTGATGGATCTTCTTTGACGACTTTGCTACTGTTGAGACTTGGCTTTACACAAGCCCCTATGTAATCAAGCATTAGTTCATTTCGCATCTGGAAAATGTTGAATGTGGTACGATATCTTACTCTTCTGCCCCCCCCCCCCCCCTTCTTGGACATCAGATTTTGTGATTGACGGTTTTCAATTCAGCTGCGCCGAACACCTTTCGCTGAGACATCTTTGTAGGAGCTCTTACTAAAACATGTTCCAAACCTCGAATCTTATGGCTATCGAAACGAATTGGAAATTGGTTTGAATAATAGAATCATCTCAGATTGTCCAATCACTGGACTTGGTAGCCCAAGGTCATTCAATTCTTACTCTATCCCGCTGACAGTATAATATCCACAAGGCTGAGTCGCCGCTGACTTTCTCCATTTTTGTGCGTTGTGTAACGTTTGTCGACCAGAATCCTTTGTCATCGGGCTTCATTTGAGATTACTTTACCCAGATAGATCAATCATTGAAGAGTTTTCTTTTCTCCGCTTACAGATAGTCTGAGTTCCGAGAGAAGGTCGGAGTAAATAAAAATATGAAGGATTGCTTTGAATCAGGATGTTGTCAGCATTGGAACATGTGTCTGGTAAATCTGGCATCTCTAGTATATTTCGCTGATTATTGAAATCAAAATAGTTGAAAAAGTGTGTTAATATTCATTATTTCTGGCAAATATCTAGAATGAAGTCTTTCGGTGGTACCACCTTTTGCTGACCACGATATTTTGGCGTACCTTATGCCAATACAAACAGCAACGGCTGTCTGCCGAGGACTGTTGTGTGAGATTTTGCCATTGTGAAACCATTCGACGACGATATTTTCGACTTCGAGGGAAACCTCAATCGATCGTCAAAGTTGGTTTCATACCTGAAAAATGTAGAGGCTGCATGCTGTGTGGAAGTCCCTTGTCGACGTCTTGACAAATTGAATTTCCATGCTGATGGTTTCTGCAAAAATTTGTAGATCTCCTACACAATCCCTCGTCATTCCAAGATTCTATGGAAAATCGCCATTCGAGACCACTGATGTACAGTCTTTGATTTTGAACCAAATCCCGAACACAAGATCGTATAGCTTGCCAAAAGCCCAGTCTAAGCTCAGTTTGCGACTGAGACTTGGTAGAATTGGATGGAGAAGAAGATTGTTCTGCCCACGAAGCAAGACATATGTAAGAATGAATTCTTTTAACGATTGGGAAGATCCTTGGCTGTAGCCTTTTGAAAAAACTTGACTACCGCGGTGTATACCAGCTTGCAAACCACATTCTTATCGTACCTATTAATAAGTCTAGCGATGAAGATGAGGATTGAACCATATAGAAAGTCTTGTTCAGGCACTTGCGATTGACCACCCAATCGCCCAATTCTGCGGCTCCTCATGGCCCCTTTCCTTCCTCCTATTGAAGTATGTAAAACATACTTAGGATGTAGGCAAAGGTGCAAAAACAGTGCCATTCACCAGTGAACAAACGTGAACATCAACCAATTACATCGTACTATTTGACATATCGAACTTCAACGAGCAACCACAAATTCCATCGCAGAACATCTGATCTCCTCCAAATCAACATGAACTCAGAAAACCATGCGAAAAGAAGTGAAAAATATCGTTCTGCCATCATTGCGTACGAAAATTATGCAGACAAAGCCTACCACTCTCCCTTATGTCTTGTGAGATGCACGAAAAAAAAGTGATTGTATTGTTGCTGCTGATATGATCTTTGCAAGGATCAGGACACATTCCCCGTATAATGAACGACATTGCAGAAAGATCTGTCGCCTCAGTTGAAGGACAACAATTTGAGCAGAGAAGAAGTGAAGTTAGAGCGATTGAGCTTTTGTGGGCCAGACTGAACGACGAGCAGAAACGCGAGTTTGAACAGAAGCGTGAGGATGAGAAGAGAAAAACTCCAGACACAAGCGATGCAATGGCGCAAAGCATCATTACTGAAAGTAAAGAACTCAGGGTTGAGAAAGAGAAACGCGAGGCTAAAATCAAGAGATACGCTCGGGTTACCGCTAGTGAAGGAAACAAACTGAAAGATCAGAAAAAGAGAGCCTTGGAAGGAGTGAATAAACTCGTGGATGAGCCCGCTTTGGAGGAGAATGAACTTGATAATGGCAAACAAAAAATACTCTCTGATAGAATAAAACTAGTCGCAGAAAATGCTGCTGAATTGCAAAAAATCCGAAACGAAGATCAAGGACTCGAGGAGAGAATGAATCAGATTATGGAAATTGACAGTGCTGAAGGTTTGGAAGAACTCGAGATCATGAACAAGTTTTATGAGCACCAAATCATCAGACTTCAGAATATGAACAGAAGATACAGGGAGAGAAAAGAACTTGGGGAGACGATAAACAGAGCTGTTGTTGATGTTGATGTTGAAGGAGTACAGGAGCTCAAAAACCTACGCAAATTAGATGATTACAAGACCAAAGAAGTTGTGGATGAGGAAAGCAATTATATAGAGCGGGTGGAAAGCCTTGTGGATCGCAAGAAAAGAACCGAGGATGGAAAGCAAGAGACAAACTAATGCAAAGAGCTTCGTGCATTATGAGAGTAAAATTCATCAGTTGTATAAGAGAGAAAATAGAAATAATTGGGAGGTAAAAGGATGGGATTTGAGTACAAGGCAAGCGAGGCAGAAAGCATCGTGAAATGGCATGAAAAAATTGATCGATTTCTTGGAGATAGAGCTGGTAAAGCTTCACAGTATAATTTCAAGTCAACTGAAAGTCCAACGCTCCAACCCGATTGATCTCTCTTTCAAAAATCATTGTTTCAGCTAATCATTTACACACCTTGAAAGTAAAGTGAACGCAAAGAAAATATGTTCAAAGTCGAAGACCACAATCCAAAGCCCACAGCACAGTTTACGAGCTTTCTTTTCTATCACTAGCCATAATAAGTCCTTGCCTTATTTGCCTGACAGAACTACAGATACCATCTCCTTTCTGCCGTCATTGTTGATTCCAAGAGCTGCGTGTTTGTGGACCCGGAGAGGATTGCGGCTTTGATTCTGGAGAAAGGTATTATACTTTATTGTTTCTTGACGATCCATCCATTTGCGGATTCAAGATCACCTTTCAGTTCTCTGAGGTTTAAAACAGTGACGGGAATGTTTCCAGTCCGTGGTCTGACTAGTGGTGAATCCCGGATCGAATATCTCACTAGTATTTGATGCGGGGAGCTAACGGAAAAATTTATGTTCTAGTCTTTGGACCAAGTAACATCCGTGCAGTCCGACTAATTCGGGAGAATAGGACTGCTACTTGACTCTACCACACTGGATGTAAGCGATCTGGTATAGACTTGAATAAGCGTATAAATTGAACTCAGGTATGTTGTTGTTCTTGATTCAGCCATATCTCCTGGAAGAAAGCTGACAATAACCGGAACAGAAGATACGGAGAGAGACTGGACACTCGATTCCACACTAGTTGAAGATGCTGGAGCCGGATTAGTTAAAAATGCTGATGAGGAAACGATCAATATAGTAGTGTGTGACTCGATAAAGAAACCTAGATTCGATACACTCGTTGTACTGATAAGCGGTTCAATTTCACTACTGGAAGTCTCATCGAGTGTTGATGATGACGGTTCTAAACCAGGCAAAGTAGAAGTAGAAGTAGTAGTAGTAGTAGTAGCAATGTCTAACGTTGGATTGATCATTTCAACCGTTGATGTGTAAGGAATGTGGCTAACTCCAGAATCTGGTGTCGTGTTGACCTGACTTGCGCTACAATTTGTTGTAGAGATGTCAAATTTAGACAAAGTCCCTGAACTAACAATTGCGCTGGATGAGACTAAAAATTCTGCACTGCTGGTGGATTCGATGCCACTATGGTTTGTACCAAGCGAGATGACAGTGGATGATGCTGCAGGTTCGATGGTGCTAGGCACGTCACTAGGTTTTGCGGAAGATCCAGTATCAGTAGCTACTGTCGGGGTCTCAGATTGATACAATATTGTCGTATTAGATTCTATTGTAGAGCTCTGCGGTGTAACAATTGCTATAGAGTCTGATGGAGATGAACCATTTCCTGACCCCGAGGCACTTGGGGGAGAACTGTTTGACTTTGAAGCGCTCGGGAATGAACCATTTCCACTATTTCCTGATGGCGAAGGTGAAGGAACGGTTGTAATAGGCACGAAACTGCTCGGATCTGATGGACGGACTGAAGGAACGACAGATGAGCTTGAAATTGAGGGGTTAATTGGAACGGTAGAAAGAGTTGCTACAATTGTGGAGAAGGTTGTTGATTCGGGTAAAGGTGTTGTGCTAAAAAACCCCGTAAAACTTTCAGATATGAGTAGAGTTGTGACGCTAGATTCTGTTGTGAAGATAGCAGTTGCAGAAGCTAGAGACTCAATGACACTAGATACAGTACTGGAAGAGGTGGGAGGTACAATACTACTTAGTTCAGCAGAAGACAATGGCGATACCATCGGTATAACAGAGATTCCAGTTTCAGATGAAGTTAGTACTGTAGAGTTAGATGTAGATAGAGCAACTGAGAGCACAGAAGTGCTAGTACCGATTAAGATTGATGGAGAGACCAAAGGCGTGGATTGCGAAGTATTTAGAAAGACTTCAGAAGTAACCGTGTTGGTGGATGATGAAGTAGAAGCAGAAGCCGAGGTCCCAGATCCAGATAGAGTAGTTTCAGATCCGCCCAAAGGGAATGTAATGGTGGTAGTGGTAGTGCTAGGTGGTAATGAAGCGGTAATCCATTCGATCGTGGTACTGGTAGCGCGGGGATTTGACTCAGAGGGCAGAGCCTGAGACAAATCCGAGGAACTTAATCCTGGATCAGGCGTTCCCGTTATATTGATGGGTTCCGATAGCTCTGTGGGGATAGCAAAAATAAAAGGAGAAGATGCAACGCCAGTTTGAGTTGTAATCTCCGCAGATGGTAATGAGGTGGTACCCTCTGTAAGGTTAAGCACAGATACAATAGAATCTGGCAATAAGGAGGAGCTGATTTGCGATACAGCTTGAGCGAGTATGGAAGGTATCGAGTCACAAACAAGGAAATATAAAAATATGGAATATGTGATGTACATATTTCGTTAAGGAGCAGTTCAAATGGATGAATCAGATACGCATGCTCTCACCGTCAATGGGTCGACTGGTTATACTGTGAGTGTGATTCTCACAAAGCGCTGTCGACGAGAATTAGGAAGATATGACTCGGAAGTGATAACAAATCTTTCTGCCCATAGTGAATGTGATAAATCGTGTCACCAAATCATGATGCTGATCTAACCGAGCTAGCATCGGGAGAGCTCTGACAACTTTACAGAACAATTGTTCTCCGAACGACCTCAATTATCAATGTTGATTAGTATATCGAGCTTCCAATCACCAATCCAGTATGGTTCATTCAACTTTCAATAATCAGATTGAATTAGTGCAACGGGATTCAATTATTACTTTTCTTTGTAATTGACCGAAGATAACATCCAAAAATTTGGGACAGATCTTCTTACCTATTGTTCTGGAGCGTGTTCATTTGCCATAAGAATAAGAAAAACCACACAACGGAACTGAAGTGATAGCACACAAGTGAAGTATCAGTTAATCTTCCCGTATCACGCAAGGGCTTCCGCGTTGATATTCAAGGTCGGAGATGAAGTCTGTAATCTCATTTGTATTTTACATTCTTGTCGGTGAACAGAAAACAAACGGGATGTTGGTCCAAAGTTGCATGAACGAGTTTACACGGTGACCGTAACATGACCTATCAGTTCGTTTACCTACCTAGGTACCTGCATATAGCCCACCAACCAAACAACTTTTCGATGAATAAGAATTTCAGGAGTTTGCTTATTCATGATGATCTTTCGAGGGAGGCTGGTTAAGCCTATTTCTGTTCAAGACAAATAGGGATACAATGTTGGTGAATGCCATAAGACAACGCTTCCAGGTCGGATGGAGTAGTCGAAGTAGTCTAGAAGGTAGAGATCATCAAAAGGGGGCGCGGGCTATACTTGCAAATCTCCACATCTTGTGTAACTGTCCAGTCGGTCAAATCCTTGAGATCATCGTTGGCCCGCTTCAGCTACGAATTATTGGACTCACTGAGATTCTGAGACTTAAAAGAATTTTCACAATACGAGTTCAACTTGTACGTACCAGTTGTACGCAGCCTTCTTTTGTTTGCTAAAATAGATCGGATGCCAAGCCCCCTGTCAAGTCATTGTCAGGGTCGTAAGCTCAGGGGGCCGTGAAACCCTACACTGACTGGGGACGAACTCCACTAAATGACGACTTACAGGGTTGAGATTCCATCTAGGCCCATAAATATCCCCAAACACACAAGAGCATCCCGTAATTTCTTGCATCAACTGAAATTTTTGCTCCCTATGATACGAATAATGAGGAGAGTTCCTTTCGTACTGATCTCCCCAATCACGATCGTTTTCGATCAATCATGCCACATACGGAGTAATAATCTAGTGAATATTGACAGCCTTAAGTTAGCCACTGCCATGGGTGGGCGTAGTAGGGCTGGGGTCAAATGTTAGTCGTTGGTTGTAGGATTCGTACATGTAACACGAAAAGTGGCTAGGTGTTAAATTGCGGCTGTGTGTTGGTTACATTGATAAAGCGTTACTTATAAGTTCATCATGCCATCACCAGTCGTTCCCTCTTCATTCTTCATTCTTCAAACATACAATCTTTCCAGCGTTTAGATTTCCTATCAAAAATTAATCTCAATTTCATTATGCGTTCCTCAACTGTCGCTTTCGCCGTTACCTTGGCCTTGGCCAACTCCGCATCAGTTCTAGCTGCTGGTGGTTCTGCAGCTACAATCACCTATGCTTCTCCTACCATTCTTCAAACCGGAGACAGCGAAGATATCAGCATTAGCTCGACCACTGCCAGTGTGGATGCTACCAGCACATCATTGTCTGCTCTGGTCCCAATAACCTCTGTTACCTCCGCTCCGGAAAGCAGTACCTTGTCAGCGTATGAATCCTCCTTCACCTCCTACTCCATAAACTTCATCTCCTCCCACAAACAATCTGGATCAGTATACTCATCCGGTTCCGTGTCCAGTTCCATTGTCTCCGGCAAGCCAGGCGTTTATTCTAACTCCACAATTATTTCTACCAAAACTGCTTCTGTCTCCAGCGCCGGCACATCTACCGCTACCGCCGTCACTACCAAAAGTTCCAGCAAAAGTTCCAGCGGAGCTGCGACAAGTGCGAGTTCAAGCGCGAGCGCCTCTTCATCGAGCTCCGCTGCCGATGCTTTGTCGATGAATAGAGCATCTTGGGGTGTTGGAAGTCTTATGTTTGGTGGAATGGCTGTTGTCTTTGGTTTCTTCTAGTTGCATTGCAACATTTAATTGAGTTCACGATGAGATAATTGTATGATGGTTTATGTATGGGATCTTCAAATCAGGGCATGGAAACTGGAATGGGAGTTTAATAAGAGAGGTTATTGAATTTGAGCTTGGCATTTTGCATACCGGTACATCATCTTTGGATTTAATATTCTGATCCTAGCTGATGTTGAACGCATGCATGTTCTGAGATCTTAGATACCAGGCTGTATTAATATTAAATGAAAACTAAGCTGGCTTCTTGACTGAATTTATTCTTGCAATGTGTACATCTCAATGTGAGTCTCTGACTATAATCGCTGCAGATCATCAATCGTCACTTGATCATTTGTACTGTATCTCAACCGAAATTAATCCCACCATTGTTTTGATTTCATCCTCCCGATCAAACATATCTTCTCCTATACAATTCGCAGCACTTCCTTCATCACGTATCTCAAGAGATCCTCAGAATCTAGCTCCGCTTGTCCACATTGTGTTCACATAAACTTGCTAGTGAAGGAGATAAGCTGCACAAGCAGGTCAGACACCAATTATTGCGGCATGAAGGGTGTTCCAGGAAGCTAGATTGTCAAAAGACGTACTTGATGACTACTGGAAGGATTCATCAAAACTGCAACATGGGGTACAAGGAGTGCCTCAGTAACTCTTCTCCGTAGAAGTCCTCATACTTAACTAAGCTCATATACAAAGCCTAAACCTGATGTATCTATGATATATGACCAGCGAATCTTACACATATCTTCAAAGCTAAAGGCATGGATGATACACACATCAGCCAGTGGACTGTAAATTCTTTCCTTCCTGCAGCACACGTCAACGGGCTAACTGTACAGGCAGGATTGGATAATCGTGCTCGAAGATCAAGATAAGGGTACTTGAACGATCTTTTAGATGATGCTATCGCAGAATTCAAGATGCTTGTGGCCTGAAACTTTGAGCAGCACTTTGTGACTGACATGAAGGTCAAGATTTGATATTCGCTTACATAAAAGCTCAGATTGAATAGTTTTGCATAATAAGACACGCCCTTATCGGTTAACTTGTGCCACGGAGTGTAGTTTTTTCTCCAAAAATGTATGGCATACTTTATCGAACATTTCAATATTCATTCGGTGCAAAGCACACATCACGTCTCCTACTCGCCGACTATTCATAATATGGCCAACCAGGTCAGAGTTGGTAGTTAGCAGAATTTTTTTAATAGTCGGCAAGTAGAGTGTTTTTGTCGTCAACAAGTCTATACAAGCCGCTGATTGATTGCCATCAAGAATAATGCAATTCGAAACTAGTCAAGTCACTCAACTCACAACTACATTTGTCAGATTTTTGGTATACTATATCGAACTTCTATCAAAGCAAACCGCTATGAACTGATTGTTAAATTATCTTGACCTCTGAGATTCACTGCTCACTCTTCGGTGCATTTCCAAATTGGTGAATGGTTTGTCCTGTTTTTGCTAGATTAAAAAAGCCGGTTTACTGTGGTATCAAAATTCCAACCTAGATGTTATAGAGACAAGACCATGCTATCATACGCATCTTATGAAGTTAAAATGTGATCAAAATTCTATCGCTTCCCTCCACTCAGCATAATTAGACCAAATCATATCTGAGATCCATTGCCCTCGCCGGATAAGAAGATATTCATAATGCCAATATTCATCTAATCCAAACACATGAAAGTTATTCCAGTAATAAAACCATGGATGGAGATCATCAAGGCGTGATTTAATATCTTCCCTTATGACTTCAAGAGCTTCCTCATTCCAGCTGGTCCCTTTGTTGCATGGATTTGACAGTACAAATGGATGAATGCGCATCTTTCTATTTTTCGTGAGCATAGGCTCAGTGGACCGACGATAATCGATGTATCTGTCCGCCAATTCAACTTCCTTCTTACCAGCTGGTAATTCTTGAGATTCTCCATACATAGATTTAGAAGATAATAATGGGGTATCAAGACTCCACGGCGATACTGGGGACCGATCCAAGCCTTTAGAAGCGTATGGAGGGGTTTATTTTGGAATCCCGAGCCCGCTCTCTCAAATAAGTCGACTAGCTTTGGGTTAACGTATTTGAAGTACTGGAACATATCTTTACAAGTGACTCCGAGACAAGCGCGCATGCGGGGCGTGAGTTCACCTATTATAGCTGTAATTATCTCCACAGGCATCTTGTTAATGATACACGGTAGGTCCTGATCTGGAAAGGATATAAGACCTAACAGAATTGATTAGTGTCATCAATCGGAGATAATGATTTCGGGAAACTTACTAGCTATCTGCGACGAAGAACTTTTCTTGAGTGGATGACACTTTCGAGACAAGGACTCGCCAAGTTACCATCAATGATCTTCCACACGATATTCTCATGAACATATTCGACGAACTTACTCCATATATGATTGCTTGCTTAGGGCTTACTATTCGCCGCTTCTATACTTCTTACAAGATATATCACCCGAAGCCTTTCAGTCTGGCTTTGTGTGTTGATCAAAAGTGTAATCAAGATCTATCCATAGCTTTTTGCAATCCATTGGGCTATTCCAATTTCTCAGGCAAAGCAACTTTCATTCCAATGTATCGGACATTTAGAGGTTGGTATCAAGATACACCCATTCAAACCATCCGTAGGGAGTGATCTCCTGGTTATGGAATGCACTAGGCCGACTTGATCGAAAACTGGCAGGGTCTCCGTCATTGTCAGAAGACTTGGTTGGATATTGGGATATACCCTTATACATTCTTCCTTCCAAGGTATCTTTTGATATCTGCCTACAGTCCCAGTAATGAGAATTTCAAGGTAAAGCTGGCTCTTCAAGATAGATATAGAGATCATTTACTCCATTTACTTCTGTGTAGTGATTCCCGAGTCCTGCTACTCTCTAGAACGTATCGACAATGGCGTGGCGTGCCAAGACCTGCTTTACCAAACCCTCTCCAAATTGGACCTCGAGCTTGGTTCCTTGAAGCAAAAATAATAATCTTAAGGGACAGATACAATCACGCGCGGAAGGGGAAATGGGTACCCCACTGGAGAAACCATACCGTTGGGAAAGGCTGTGGAGATTGGCCCGACCAGGAAATATTTGATACGTTCTCTGAATGGAGGACAGTAATAAGCTTGTAAAGATAGGAAGAGGGATTCGTGCTATGGAAGGTTGACGACCACGCGAGGAGACTATCTAATCTCAAGTATTTGCCAAGACCCAAGTTAGCTTTAATCTAAAATAAAATGCTTTATATGATCACTACTCATAGAAGAAAGACCTTGGCTCAGAAAAAAATGCATGATTATCCAGGCAATGCCTTTTCCTATTTGCATGATGCAAATGTCAGAATTTAACAACTTTCATTCCAAAATGAAATCAAAAATATAACAAAAACCGGAGTCATCTTTATTCCTCGACCATATAACAACAATAATAGAATATGAGTTAAATACAAATTATATGTCCTCGTCCCATTTTTACTTCCAACGAATCTTATTTTAAGCAATTCGGTTGATGTTACACATCTCTATCTTTTCCGATACGCCCTTTCTCTTCAGATTTAGCTCCGCAACGCAACCAAGGCAATAGCAACAACCTGATCTCTTAAGAAAAAAAGACAATCAGATATTCAACTGTTGCGGTTTACAAATCCAGGAATCTTCATTACCAGTCTTCGGAAGAATGCATCCCCACAGTTCAGGCCCTGGATCCACACTGTTCAAAGCCAAAAGCACAGTGGTAGGATCCGGATTGGAATAGTAGAAAGTCACAAAGGTGTCTCTGAGAGCACCGTAAGAGGGGACACATATCGAATCATATATTGTTTCAACACTTGCGTCTAGATGACCCCATGATTTAGTAAAGTATTTACGAGAAGATATGGGGAAAGTTTCTTACCGATTCTCATTATTTCACTGATCAGTTCATAAGCGCAATTCATGTCATCGGATATTGTGTGATTCTTTTTATGGTTTGTATTTCCCCACTATTTGAAATGTAAGCTTCAAGGTATGTAGAGGTTGATCGCATAGATAAAACGATGTCTTTGACGCAAATACAAGCAGGGGAACGAATATATGTATGTACTTACACCGGCGAGATTCAAAGTGAACTTTAGCCTGCCATCGTCAAATTCTTTGTACTGGCAGCAATTTGTATAGGCTTCAGCACTGGTAGCAACAGCGGAGTTTGTTGGAAACCTGTCTGGAGCAGCACGGGAAACAAGCTCGTGAGCTTTGGTGGGCGTATCAACATTGGGATCTATTGCTGGTATGGCATGAGCTGATGTCATGGATGCTGCCATGAGCAAAAATGCAACTAGAAGTTTGAATGAAATGGTACCCATGGTGATTGTTGAAAGCGATTTCTGAAGGCGCTTGAGAAAAAATCGAGAGACCTTTGAAATAACCTTTGAAATATCTTTTCGGATAACAATTTAGATATTGAGTGGAACTACTGAGCTCTTTATTTGTTTCATGCATGGCTGCAGCTATACTACAATCCTCTTCCCCAGACTCGAGAAGGATTTTCCATCCCAAATAGATTAACCTTAAATTAGAAGTGTACTTCCGAAGGCATTCGCACTTGCAATCCTAGAGCCAAAGGTCTTGGAGAGATTTCCAAAACCAATCTTTACACCGGCTGGTAACGAATTGATGTTTAATTTTACTGAAATTTGATCCCTTCAAGGCAACAGAGCGGTTACACTTCTGAAGCGGTGACGATGTCCGCCACATCCCCGTTAAACACAAGGCCCACATCGCTAATTTATAGACTGTCAGGGGGCGCACGGTTGTGGGGTTAGGCTGCTGTGGCGCGTAACTTAATCTTGAGCACAAACAATTCTTCAACACAATTCGGGGTTGGAAACCAATTGTGATATTGACATTATCAAACAAAATGACTGCTCAAGTTATCTGCTATCCGATTTTGGGTCAGATCACAGTTGTTGCGGAGAAACAGGTAAGATCACATGACGTACTTCCTGTGTCAAAGACAAATTATTCAACTAACATATGCGTAGGTTAACGTCACAGTTGCGTTGTTTCCGCATGACGGTGAAGAAACCAACTGGGAAGTAGCATTATGGTATGGCTCGAAGGATATGAGCTGGAAACAGCTTGATCTCACCAGAAGTGATGATAATATACCAATAGTAAGGATATCTGATTGTCTACCCTTGTGATCTTGAATGCAATTGACAAAAAGGCAAAGCTTGCTGCAGACACTCAAAACTTAGTCTTGTTCTTCTCAAACACTCTGCAACGGCAATCATTGAATGAACAACATGTCTGTTATACCATCAAGTACAGAAGAAGCGGAGAGTCGGCCTGGAGATGGGTGAATGATGATCCCGATCCCGTTGGTGATGCAGAAATCATTTTCCAGGAACCATTAGCTACTTTACAGTTGTCTTCTATTGAGGAATATATCTCCAACTTGTCAGGTGATTTCCACGTCAAGTATCATGGACAGCATAAAGTATCTGATTCACCCACATGGACTTTGACGTGTCCGATACCTGCTTTAGTCACTTCAGCTACCGAACCAAGTGTCCAACGAATTACCTTTGGATTCCCAAAGGATACAGTTCAATATTTTGCACTCGTCAAACGAATGAATTTCTGGCTAGTACCACGTCATGGCGGATCTAAATTTGACTTGGGTGAAGACGATTGTCAATTCTATACCAAAGATGCGGAACCAAAAGCGATTCTGGTATCTTTTTTAAGAAATGATAGGATGCATTTTGTAATGCTTGCGTTGAGTATGAATGGTGTTGTAACGACACTGACATCTGGTGAGAATGGGACTATCACTCTTATAGGAAAGAATGAGAACGAAGGGAAAAGAGATGGAATTGTGATTTGTGCCGTAGGCAAAACTGAAGAGGAGGCTATCACGGCTGCAATGAACCATGCAAAAAGGGTTGTTCGAGAAAGCTTGAATGCAGAGCATATTACGAGCGGAAGGGTCGAGAAATCTCTAGTTCCTGAACACAAGAAAAGTTTCCACGACGAGCTGGTATATTGTACATGGAATTCTCTCGGGCCCACCGTGACATCTACTACTCTTTTCGCCGCGCTTGATGATCTGGATCAATCATCAATCTACCCATCTACACTCATAATAGACGATGGATGGCAATCCATAACACCGTTCGGGTCCGAAACTTTCCCAAATCAACATCGTTGGTCAAGATTCGAAGCTTCATCAACATCCTTCCCAGAAGGTCTTACCAAGCTCTCACTAGAGATTAGAAAATCTTATCCCTGGATCAAAAACATTGGAATTTGGCACGGTATCTTTGGATATTGGGGAGGTATTGATCCTGAAAGTGAGCTTGGGAGGAAGTATAAGTTGCGATGGGTAGAAATCAATAATTCGCGACGCAGTGGAATGTGGGTCATAGATGCTTGCGATGTGAAAAGATTCTATGATGATTTTTATTCGTATGTGTTGCTTTCCAATTACCCATTCTGATTTGCTCCACTAAATGATTCATGCTCCTATAGATTTCTCAACAGCTGTGGTATAAATGCGGTCAAATTGGACACTCAAGGGTTACTAGATGATCTCACAACTGCCAAAGACAGGAGAGAATTAATACCGGCCTATCAAGATGCAATTCACGCATCACTACTTTCTCATTTCGAAGACAGAGTAATATCATGCATGTCTCAATATGCTACCAATATCTTCTCTCCTCAAATACTACTCTCTGCATCAACCCATCCCACGAATAAAATCGCCATGCGCAATTCCGATGATTTTTGGCCCAACGATCCCGCTACTCACGCGTGGTACCATTCACTCCCCCTTACTATTCTTTGCGTTTAACCTCTCAACCGAACACTAACTAGCACTATAGGCACATTCACACAAACTCACACACGTCACACCTAACCACGCATCTCGAAAACATCATCCCAGATTGGGATATGTTCCAAACCTCCTCCCACACCCCCACTACTCCACCTACCACGCCGCCGCACGCTCTCTCTCCGGCGGTCTCCTATCCATAACCGATACGCCATCTCATCACAATCCCTCTATTATCTCCCGCCTTTCCTGCACCCCCTTCCAATCACGATCCTCACCCCCATCTCCCCCCATCATTCTACGCACCCACCCCGCAAAATCCACATCCGTATACCCCAGCTCTCACTCTCATCGCATATTAAAACTCGGCACCTCGACTCTCAAAACCAACATCAAAGTCCTCGGATTATTCAACACTTTTTCTTCCGGTTCCATCACCGAGATCATCGGACTTGAGGACTTTTTCCCTCTTGCCCATTCCTCTCTCCACAGAGAAGATCCCGCAGAAGAAAACCAAGAAGCTCAAGAAAAAGAAGAACAATACATCCTCCACAGTTCCTCAACCAACAATCTCTCTCCCCCCGTTTTCCTCACAGCTCGAGGAACAAACACAAGTAAATGCATAATCACATTACCCAATGCCGGATGGGAAATTCTCACCGCGTGTCCTGTATATACTATTCCTCTCCCGCCATCTCCATCTCCATCTTCTCTTTTCAATCAAAATCACAATCAAAATCACAATCTCAATCTCAATTCCCATCTCCATCCCAGCTCCACCTCCACCTCCATCCCCAACCCCCACAACAAAAACCACAAACACGCACCCAAAATCAACACAATCCCCAACCCAACACCACCCCCACAATCAACCTCGCCCTCCTCGGTCTCCTCAACAAATTCGTCGGCGCGGCTGCAATTCTCAAGAGTTCATTTTCATTTTCTCTAATTCCTGCAACTTTAACTTCAACCTCCACCTCAACCTCCACCTCGACCTCCTCACCCCCCCTCCAAACCCTCAATTTCCACATCCAACTAAAAGGCACCGGCATCCTCGGTCTATACATCTCTCCTCCCTCCCCCTCCCCCTCCCCCAAAATCCCCTCCCCCAAACTCTCAACCCTCCACATCTCCCACCACAATATCTCACCTCTCCTCCCGCACCACACCAAAATCGAATATTTACCCCATGCGCGCGGATACATGGTTTCGATTGATTTACCTTCCATCTTGGATATACGTTCGAGTTGTGGTTCTGATTTTGATCACGATTTTGACTCTGGGAGGAAGGGTGAGGGTATGGGCGATGGGGATTTGTTTGTGCTTGATGGGGATGAGGATGGCGATGGGGATGGTGAAAGTGAAAGCGAAAGTGAGAGGGAGGGAGTACTGGTTGATATTGGAATTTTGGTGTAAAGTACTACTGTGCTGTGGACTGGATGGTGATGTGAAATTGTCACATGTATCTAGATGTAGAAGAGGAGAATAGTTATTCAGTATCCGGAATTTTAGGAGGTGGATCATAAAGCTCCAGTTATCAAGGTAGTGAGTGATATGTTCTATTGCACAAAACAAGCTTTGGTATTGTCAAAACAATCGTGATGGAGGATCCCGAAAACTTATGCATGATATCCCATAAGCCTAAGCCATTCTAGCAGCCGTCGATCCATCTAGTACGAGAATAGAATCTCCGCACCATTCAACGTATTCCGCAATAATTACCATACATCAATCCACGTAGCACTATTTCCTCTCCATTTTCCACACACGATACTCTACCACGTTTCTTGTATATATCTCTTTAACCTCTCCAGATTCGCGGTAAAATCCTCCGCTTCCTCCATGCTCATACTCGCATGAATTTGCAAGACGCTCAAGAAAGCACATCGCACACCCTTGGGCATACCACCCGAGCTACCACAAACATAAATCATTGCTTTTTGACTCGTGAGCAAATCCGCAATTTCCTTTCCTTGTGCTTTAATCTCATCTTGCACGTAGACTTTCTGTTCTTGATCTCGCGAGAAAACCGGACTTGTATGTACATGATCTTTTACTTGGGCCGATTCCCACTCCTTAGCAAAGAAGTAATCTGCCTGGCGATTACGTCCACCATATATAAGATGGACTTTCCCGAACTGGACTCTGCCCTCCGGTGTGTCTTTAATTTGTTTCAAGCGTTGCAAAATCAATGATCGTAGAGGTGCGATTCCCGTACCTGCACCGACTAAGATGAGGGAAAGGTTTGGTACAAGCGGGGGTACTTTATAGAAAGAAGGGTTCGCATTGTACTGGATCGTGAGATTTGTTCCCTTGGGAAGAGTGGCTAGATAACGAGAACAGAGACCGTTGCGAACCTTTCGAAGAATGGTGCGGTATTTGACAATGGCGACGAGAATTTGGAATTGATAATCTTTGAAGGGCCTAGGATCATCAAAACCTTCGTGGTTGTTCAATTCTTTAGATTTTCTGGAAGCTTTATCCGAAACTACGATGGGGTTGTGTAAGTCGCCGCCGGAACAGATACTGAACTCGCGACCTCGAATCACAGGAAAAATGGTGACGGCATGTTTCCAAGGAAGCTTGACGCTTGGGAAATCCTGAAGACATTCGAGAATGCTGCGACGAGGACGAGTGGTGTAATCGTAAAGTTCATCGGTATAGAGAGGATCTCGAAACTCAAGGAGGCGTTCTTTGTGTGTCGGATCATTTGTATAACCGGCCATAAGCTCGAAGAAACGACGTTTGGGAATGGCATGAAAATCAAGATTATGAATCAACAACTCTCTGAGTGTTTGTTCGTCTCCGATTTTATTTAGACCATCTGGGGGCATTACCAAATTTTTCGCGCCGAACCAATCTGGTGATTTTGGTTTAAAGTGTAACTTCAGATCCGCAACATCATTCCATCCCATCAAATCAATGAGGGTCTGGACATCTTCAGGAAAGTTTTTGGGAAAGATCGATATAGTGTCCCCAGGATCTAACATGAAATCTCTGCCTCTAAGCTTGAAGGTGATCTCGCGAACATCCTGCCAGTGATCTGGAGGAGTGACGCGCTTATTGGCTTCCATAGTGACAACAAGTGGTGAACGATTCTTTTTAATTCCTTTTAGAAGTGCGGGTGGGGGTAATACATTGTCATCTTCTGGCTGTTCTGTGTGGAAATCGGTCACCCGGTTTGATGGCGGTCCTGGTGCGTCGAAACCATTATCAAATCTTATTCCAGATTCCAGGCCATATTTATCTGCCATTGTCGCTGTGTTTGGGACGGATGATTGGTGAGCTTGAATATCGGCCTCTCCAAGTACTTTTGGATCAGTAGATTTTTTAGGCAGGTTGGAAGCTTCCAAATCTTTGATAGGAGCAAGCTTGCTATTTAATGAATCAAATTCTGTTTGACCATTATCATCTGTGTTTTCAAGCAATGAAATTGATTTCTCAATATCTGTCGGCGGTTCGTTTACCAACTCTAGCCAGTATTTTGGGGGTAGGAGAACATCATCAGGAATTGGATCTAGGCCATCTGGCAATGGGTATGATTCGAGGACTTTCTTCCTAAGATCAATATACCAGGAGAGGAAAGTTCCATCAACACTATTTACGTTAGAAATTAGGCAGGTACAAAGTTTGGGATGAAAAGTATAGGGAAACTTCTACTATGGAGTACATAGGCAAAGGGTTTCCCAGTGAAATAGAATTCGCTTACCCTTCATCATGTTGTTCATCTGCTTCACCTCTAGGATATATTTCATTCCCACCCAGCTGTTCTAATCTTTTATGCAATTTACGAGATGCAAAATTGAATCTTAAAAGTTGTCAGTATCATTTTGTTTAGCAGATGCATTTCTTCCTCCCTTTCACCCTGCATCACTTCCACTAGTTTGTACCTACTTTGCATAAGAACTATCACCAAGACCAAAAGTGGTGAAGTTCACGTGACTCAAACAATTGGGAGGCAAACGCTTTCTCAAGAGACTATTCCAAAATTTCCTTGCATTCTTTGGGAATTCTCCTTGTCCTGTAGTTGACAATGTGAATATCACAAAAGTGTACTTGGATAATTCTCTCTGTTTGGTACATTCAAATGAGTATATTTTGATTAAATTTGGGGAAGAAATTACACACAACATCAACCTCATCCATTTCGCACACCCTTGTCATGAAATGAAGTCTTTCTGTAATGCGTCCCAATTCTTCGGCCACATCTTGAGAGTTTCCAGTTTCCGTTCCGTAAAGGATAAGTGCGCTCCTATCGTGTCGTTGGCCATTGAGTATGTCAGACATTTGGTACAATTAATTGATTGATGATTGTTTGTGGCAATGGCAAATATCGATTAATGACTCGATATGATATAAAATTCCATAATCGACCAGTTGATAAGAAAAATAATTTTTGGTCACCATTATCAAAGAAGGGCTGGCTGCATGTACTGTAAGTCACGAGATATTGGTTAGTTGGCTGTTTCGAATTCCCATCTCATCCACCCATACTGCTTACAGCACGAACAATTATCAACAAGAGGACTGGGTAACTCTTCAAGGTGAATCCATGTAGTCCATGTAATATGAAACTCTGTGGTTTGTGGTTGTGTGTATATCAGGTGATTATCGTACAACCTGCCTTGCAGTTTGAGAAGGAAACAAAGTCTTTGACTTTGCCTTGATTGTCTTGAAAAATCAACGGTCAACGGCTTCATGCATACAGAACAAGACGAGACGAGACAAGACAAAACAAGACAAGACAAGACAAGACAAGACAAGACAAAGAACGGTTAGCAACAGAAAGCTATGGAAGAAAAAGGTTGTTTCCAACTAAGCAAGCTGCAATGCAGGCATACTTACGATTGTGAGTACATAATGACAACACCACATACAAAGAGTGGGAACATGCAAATTTAGTGTTGGGAAGATGGGAGGATGAAGATTCCAGTACTGTATCAGGCATGAATGGATTGTCGATACTATTGCGATATCTAGATATAGGTAGGACTATACAGATAAAATGATAGCAACAGACACTTTTTTTATATCGGAATTTACAAGAATTATAAGAATTATATTATAGAAATTATAAAAATTATAAAAATTATAAAAATTATAAAAATTGTCAGAATTGATGAGGGGATTGATACGTGATTATGTACTAGTGGTAGATATTGATACATGTACTCCGTAGCAATGGATCGATCTACACTGTACATACTTTATTACTCGAGTATTTAAGTGGTTCTAGAACCTATTTTGATGTCATAAGAAGAAGAATGACATATTGAGGTATGAATCATCTCATCTGTCAAATCGAGCAAAGAGTGCCCTGCCCGAATGACTTCTTGATAATTATCATCAATTGATATTTACCGGTCGGGCATTCACATCACATGACAAAATATCAAGCATTCGGTGACAGCATTCATGGACGGGAGATTCGGTTGATCCATACATAGGTAGGTACCAGGGAGGCACTAGGTACGCCTTTCCCAAAGAATGCTCTTGACCATATACAGGTAGACAAGTAAACAATCGCCCAATCGCCAAGTCAGGAATCCTTCCCCTTTTATGATGTGACTCCTTGCCTCCCCTTGCCTTTTTCGCGACTTCCCCATGTTATGTGGCATTCGAGAACAACATCGAATCTCACACCGTATGATGGCCTTTTCTCGACTTGTTGGAGGATTAGATAGGTATTGTATATTCACTTGCTATGGGGGTTGTCGCTTTGTCATGGAGCACCTAGATACATGTAAAAACTAGGTATCTCCTATCTCGCATATCACGACGGTGATCGTGTCAACCCAACCACGTGCCAACGATGAGTAGAATGTAGAATATAGAATACATATACCATCCCAAATAGAATCAATCCATTCATCCCTCTTGACCTCCTATCCCACCATTTCCCCATGTTCATTCAATATCAAATCTCCTTCTCACCGTACCACCCGTGCCACCTGCCAACTGCCAACTGCCAATTGCCTGCCACCTTATCAAATGATTCTTCCCTTTCCTGGCCAATTAATCGTGTCCTTCTTCCTTCTCACAGTGGATTTTTGCTTTGCGTCGAACCTTCTGTCTAATCTAAATATTCTCTAATCGAATAGAATCCCCATTCCCAGCCCTGTTCAGCCACTGGCTTTAATCCAATTACGGCAAGTGCCACTCGCTAAGATGCGGCTGCCCCAGCGATTCCATTGGAATTTGATATATTCTGCCCACTGCGCAATCCCGACTTCTTTCTCCCTTTCCTTTTGAACACCTCAACTTCAAGAATTCCATCCAGTGTCAATCACAACAAAACCTCAACCAACTTCCCCAAAACCAGACCACTAGGGCACCTAGCTACCCTTTTCCAACTCCCCCAATTTGTTCAGAGAGTATTAAAACACACTCCCAGCAAACGTCGATCAATTTTCAAT